CAGCCATTGCGATAAGCACTGCCGCGGCAGACGCACTCCAGGATCATGACCTGGGAGTCTGAGCGCCAGCAGCGTCGTGAGACACCTGCCGCGCTTGGCTGACCCCGCGGCAGCGCCAAGACGACGGCGCTGCGACTGCAGCACCGAACCGAACTGCCCGTACACGTGGTGCCCGTAGACGGCGGCTGCCTGCGGCCCCGCACGCTGCAGCTTGGCGGACACCGCCCAGCGCCGAGCGGCCTGTGCGTACTTCCGCAGCCGCCCGTGCGTCTTGCTGGACTTGAGCGCCCGCTGCCTGACGGTCGCTCGACCGTGCCGCCTGCCGCAGGACAAATCCACCCCGAGGTAGGCAGTCTGCAGCACGGTTCGCAGAGTGACTCCCTTCCTCTTGAGGACGCGCGGGGGCGGAGGAGGAGGAGGGGGCGAAGGAGGAGGAGGAGGAGGAGGAGGGGGAGGGGGCGGAGGAGGGGGCGGAGGAAGAGGAGGAGGAGGAGGAGGAGGAGGAGAAGGAGGAGGAGGAGGAGGAGGAGGGCCAGGAGGGGGGCGTCCAAGAGGGGGGGGGCGCAAATCATGGCCGGGGGCACGTGCGCGGCCCATGGGGGGGGGACCGGGAACGCAATGAAGTAAGAAGAGGCGCCATGAACTTGGAGGAAATATCATGGCCCACGCCATGAGATCCCCCTTTCGAATCATCACCCCCCTCTTGGCCGCTCCCGATGAACATTGGCAGGGAGCAGAGCCCCGGCCGGGCGGGCGCGCCAGAGATCTCAGCCGCCAGGCGGATCTTGACAAACCTCTCGTCCGCAGGGAGAGGGGGGGGGGGGGCACAGGCTGAGTGATGCGGGAAGGGGAGGCAGGAGCAGGTTGGATGGGGGGTGGACGAGAAATTAGAAGGAAGGCGGAGGACGGAGAAAGGGGGTGGAATGAGGAGGACATGGAGCGAAAACCATGGACGAGGAAGTGGGCAAGGACGACAATCACGAGGATGAGGGGGAGAGAAGGGACCAGTGAGGAAGAGGAAGCGGGGGATGAAAAGGAGTACGTAAACATCGCACGGGGGGGCAAATGTTATGCCTATTCTCTCCTTCTCCTTCTCCTCCTTCTGCCTTTTCCTGCTCCTCCTTTCCTCGTAACCGACGACGCATTCCTCCTCCTCCTCCTCCTTCTCCTCCTCCTCTTTGTCCTCCTCCTCCTCCTACTATCTCTGTCTCTATAGCTCGTTCGGTTTCTCTCTTTCCCCCCCTCTCCCTCAATCGTCGCCGTCATCATAATTGTCCTTTCATCCTCTTTCTCGTCCTTGCCCCCCTCTCCCTCCTCCCACGTCCTCCTCCTCCTCCCTGTCCTGAATGTGTTTGATCTGATGGTTATTTGTTCTTCGCCACTGGACACATCGGGGCTGATAGCTTTAACAGCAGACCCTCGGACCCGCCCACCCTGGGTTACTGCGGCCGCCAGAACCACATAACCACTCAATTTCCAGAACATCCCGCCCCCCCGCTTCGCCTCTTGCGAACTGCCGCCCGCGCATACCACGGCCGCCAGATCCCCGGGTCCACCCAATGTCCCTCAGAAGCTGGGCAAGGGCTGGCAAATCCGTGGCTGCTAAAACGGTATCCCCGGAGAAAAAAACACATTCCCAGAATAAAACCTCGCGCGCAAAATAGTAAACGAGCTGATTCCCGGAAGAGAAAAAAAAACAAATTCCTGGAACTCCGTTTTAGCAGCCACGGGTTTCCCAACATTCGCCAGGCTTCTGAGTCCCGAGTGTCCCGCCCGACGCCGCGCCCTTTACTGCCCCCGCACGCCCTGCATATCGCGGCCGCCAAATCTCCAGGACCACCCACTGTCCCGAATGCCGAGCCACCCGCCCGCCTCTTGACCTACGACTATCAGCATTCGCATTATTCGTACAACTAGTACGCATGATACGTCGTATCATGAAGTCGTCGACTTTAAACCATAGCATAGCATAACCAAATGCGTGTGTCGAAACAATGTTGCCCTCGAAATTGATAATGTGGGTGAGAATGCAACAACCCAAACCATACTGGAACCCAACTCGATACGAGACATGTAGCAGTATGGAAGAAAACGCATCACGATGTAGCGTAGCAAACTTGAAAAACACACACACACCGTAATGTAGCAGCACATACCATACTATACCATAGCAACGACAACAACAATACATTTAATACTGTTCGCTCTTATCTGTTCGCGTGCCATTCAGCACGTATACCCCAAGACCTCGATACACGCCCTCTTCGTCTTCGATCGTGAGCTTTTGGGGTGCACCTTTTCTCACCTGCGCGTGTAGTTCGTGCAGCCCGTAAGGCAGGGAAAAGAGGACTGATGGAAGGAAGGAACAAAAAGCAGGCGGGTTACTGAAACGTGCATCCTGCATGAGTCGCGAAGTCCCGGGCGACAGCGCGATTCCAACATAAATCGCGCGGACATTCAGAGCGAGAGCGTGGTTCCTGAAAGTCGAGGGCGTGGCGTCTGAACAACTTGGGAGGACGTCCCACGCGAGAGCGCGATTCCAGCGCAGATTGAAAAATTCCCACGCGAGAGGGCGATCTGTGAATACATTGAAGAATACAAAACGGGAGCCGCTGTTGTTATACACCGGGGGCCACGGGCCCAATTTCGTGCCCCCCCCCATCATATGGCGGCGTAAGCAAAAAATGATACGATGCCCGGGAGAAACACATTTTTGGGGGGTAGCAAAAACAAGGTGCGGACCCCGGGAGGGAATTTATTTGTTTTCCGAATTACAATGGTTATCTGAGGGGGGATCTATAACAGCGATTGTTCCGAAATGAGAACTCAACAAAAACACCATCAACAACACCGAACAAAAAAAAACAACACCAACAACAGCAACAGTCGTTCTAAGACTGTTCGCTCTTAAGTGCCCGCGTGTCATTCAAAACGTATTCCCCACACCCTCGATTCCCGCCCTTTTTGTCTTCTCCTTCGTGGGCATACATGTGCCCGCCATTGGCATTGGTGCGGGCCCTGCAAAAAGAGGAGGGGGAGAACGAGAGAGAGTGGGAAGAAGGGAGGGGGAGGGACGAAGGAAGAGGGAAAACGCCAGGAGAGAAGGAGCGAAGAGGGGGGCGGTTGAGATGCACAGAGAGAGAGAGAGATAGAGAGAACAAAAAAAAACAGATAAGAGAGGTTGAGAACGAGAGAGAGAGAGAAAAAAAACAAAAGAGAGAGAGAGAGAGGAAAGAGAGAGAGAGAGAGATGAAGAGAGAGAGAGAGAGAGAAACAACAAAAGAAAAAGAGGGACGGAGGAGGCAGGAGAGGGGAGGGAGAAGGGAGGAGGGAGAGGAGGGAGAGGGGATGGGGCAGAGAAGCATAAGGATGAGGGAAGAGAGGAGGGAGAGAAAAGTGAGGAGAGGAGGGGGGAGGGAGACGGAGGAGGAGCAGGAAGGTAAGAGCGTGAACGTTCGAGGAAATCCTCTGCCAAAGCGCAGTTCCTGAAAGAAGGCGGGTGGGACATTCAAGCGAGATGCCTAAGTATGACGAGACGTCCTTGGCGCAGCTTGTTTCCCAAGCGTAGAAAGCGCGACTTCTGAAAAACTTGCATGGAAGTCACAGGCGAGAGTGCAGTGCCTGAATAACATATCCTTGTCGTCCCCTTTCCATAGGTCCTCACTTCCCGTGTTTCAGGGGCTGCACCAATTACGCGCGGCAGGTAAGAAAGATATACCCCCAGGGGGGCACGATCGAAGACGAAGAAGGCGGGTACCGAGGGTTTGGGATATACCATCTGAATGGCAAAAGGGCAGTGAAGATCGAACAGAGTTAAGATAAGTGTTGGCGTTGCTGTTGGATTCTCACTTCTAAACAATTAGTATGGTTGATCCCCCGTCACTGGTGCATACTGTTTTTCCTCCATCAAAGTGTGTCCCTCGACGCTCGCACCCTGTTTTTTGATAGGGGAAAGCTTGGTGCTCAAACTGTGCCCCTGGTCCCCCGGATTACAACAACAACAACAACAACAACGGCTCCCGCCTGAGAGTTCCTCCAAATCTACTCAGGACCCCGCCCGCTCCTGAGACGTCCCCACAATTAACTCGGATCGGTGCTCTCGCCGGTGACTCCCTCGCAATTTAGTAAGGACCCCCGCTCCCACTTGAGACTTCCTCACAAGTTACTCAGCCAAGGCGTGCGCTGCCGCTTGAGACTTCCTCTCAATTGAATCGAAACCTCCTCGCAATTTACTCAAGACCCCCGCCGCTCCCGCCAGAGAGCACGGGATTGGCAGGACGGGGGCTAGGAGCAGGAGGCACGTGGCAGAACCAGACGGGCCCATCGGGCGGGTAGACCCTAACGGGCGGGTCGGGAGGGCGGGCCCAGGCGGCCAGGTCGAGAAGGCGTGTTGCTGAAGCGTGCGTCCTGCATCAGTTGCGAGGAGATCTCAAGCGACAGCGCGATAAAACCCCAAGCGAGAGCGTGATTCCTGAGTGTCAAGGGCGCGGCGCATGAATACATTGCGAGGATGTACCACGCGAGAACACGATTCCTGCATACATTGTCTAAGTCCCCCGCGAGAAAACGATTTTGGAATACATTACAGAAATATCTGGCGGGAGCCGCGATGGTTGTAACTCGGGGGCCAGGGGTCCAGTTTGGTGACATCCATCTTTCCCGGATATACAGCAGGGTGCAAATCCTGAGGGGGGCACTTCAATTGAAACATATAATTGTTACTGGAGGTGGGATTAACAACAGTTATTCAAAACCATGAAAGTTAAATACCAACAGCAACAGCAGCAAAAACAACAGCTACAGCAACAGCAACAGCAACAGCAACAACAACAACCACATCAACAATCACAAAGACAACAACAACAACACTCATTGTAATATTGTTCGCTCTCACTGGCACGCGTGTTTTGCATTCCGCCCACTTCGTCTTCGATCGCACCCTCTTTCGGGGGGGATATCTTCCTTGTCGGCCACTGACTGAAGTGCGACGAAAATCCCGAACGAGAGCGCCGTTCCCGAGTTAGAGGGCCTCTCTGGCCAGGCCAGGGGTCCTCGGAGTACATAAGTATTGAGAGATACCGAACGGGAGTCGCGTCGCCGTCTGGGTCTCCACCAACTTGCCCTAATTACACGAGAATCTCGAGCGAGAGCGCCACTCTTGAGTTCGGGGGCCTCTCTGGCAAGGCCCTCTGCGAATACATCTTGGGGAAGTATCGAACGGGAGCCCTTGTCGTCGTAGTTGGGCCGGGCCTCCACCAACTTGACTGAATCATTGGAAAGTCCCGAGCGAGAGCATCAATCCTGAGTTCAGGGGCCTTCCTGGCAAGGGGCTCTCGGAGTAAATCGTGAGGAAGCATCGAACAGGAATCTTTGTTGTCGTGGCTGGCCCCCGCCAATTTGACTGAATTGCGAAGAAGTCTCTAGCGAAAGCGCCGTTCCTGAAGTCGGGGGCCTCTCTGGCCAGGGTGTCTCGGGGTAAATTGTGAAGAAGTGTCGAGCGGGAGCCGTTTTCGTCGTAGCTGGGCCTACAAGGGCAAACTTTAACACTCAAACCAACGCTCGAACGGGAGCCTCGCTTTCGGAGAACATGTAGCCGGCGTCGAAGCGAGTGCCTGGAACCGTTCCCGAAGATTAACAAGAATTATTCTCTAGAAATGACTATTCAACAGCGACAACAACAACAGCAACAAGGATGACTCCCAGACTGAGGCCCCCATCCACCTCTGAGGCTGCAGAGCAAATTGTCGACTAAAATGAACATCCGAACTGACCTCCCCCCCGCGCAACGCGACTC